TTGATTATCCTCGAAATGGCTAGGGAAAACAATGTCTTTAAGCCTCGAGGACGGAAGAAATAGAGCTAAACTCTTCCATTCTTTGACAATAGATAGCATATCTTCATTTGATTCTATAAAATTGATAAAATTAGCATTCCCGTCAATAGATATATCCCACTTTTCTATGTCTAATTCCTTTTCACCGTTACATAAAGCACAGTGAATATTAAAGTATGTATAATTACTTGTAAGCGAGGTAACGAAAATTCGGTCTTCGAAGTGGTTAGAGAGGCTGTGGCATTTGTCAGGCTTTTCTACAAATTCAGAGCAGGTATCTACAACGTGATACTTTGGAAGTTCTGGTTCTATTTTACTAAAGGGAGAACGTTGAAAAACTGCGTCATGGAATCGTGTCAATTTTCCTTCGAAAAATTTGTCAGGACAACAAGTCTTCTTTCGAACACACGTATCCTCACAGGAACATGGTGGGCATCGTGATTGTATTGAATTCTGGTGATATCCTGTCAATCCGGGCCAGTCTTTACAAAGGCCTTTCTCTCCACAAGCATTTATGTATATACCCATAAGTCTTGTAAGGTTTAACTTTGAATTCGAAGTTGTACAAGTTGAAGGAAGTAAGAACATAAAAATCAGGCTTGAAATTAACTGATACATAATTTCTTCTTCACTTAATGCCTTTAAAAAATCTGAAAGTCAGGAAAATTGTTATATCAATAAAATTTCTTGAATTCATAGAATCACAATTGTTTATAAATTTAAACTATAAACATTTTGTCTGATAATATTAATGATAATGTATAATGTAATTTTTTCTTCTGTATTAAATTTCATCTTCTTTACCAGAAATTTGTAGAAAATGGAATCTGTAAAAACGTTGCAAAATAAGATACATATTTGAATTTGCAAAGCATAAATTTTTTTTAAAAAAAATCCTATTAGATACATCAGATGCATTTAAAACTTAATTAAATGAGTCTAATTATACCCCATGCATTTAACTTACTGTGAAAAGAAGCCTCGGTTTCAATCAACACAATGAGATTTATGTTTACAAATTTAAAATGTTCAACTTTTATAATTTGTCAAAGATGTATCATTTGTTTTTATATCACATGCTTAAAATTTTGCACAGATTAGAGATAATAGAAGTATTTATGTTTAGTGTTACCTATTTTATCATGATGCGATTGGTTTTCTAGTCGGATTACAAAACTTTTAAGAGAGGAGTTATTCACCTCATATATTCTACCATAGGTAGCTTAGTGCTAACAGATTTTATCTTTCTCTTTCACCTCCACGTCGTTTTTCTATTCATTTCTTTCTTTAAGGGGATATAATGAATGATTCGTTTATTTTACAACACGCCTAATATTTTCTTCTTTGAACATTGCTCGCTCTCTCCCTCGTATATTAACGATTTCTATAGCTACTCTAAACATCCTTGAATTTGTCCTCAAAATCCTGGATTGACTGTATTTCTTGAAAACTACATTTATTTCCATTTTATTGTCATTTCACAATAGTAAAAAAGAATTGCAAAATCCATATCTTCATTATTTTACCATGATCAGAAGGAATCGCAGTCCTCACTCTTGCCTTAGCTTCGCGAAGGTGATAAACCAGGAATGACATACCAGAAGATTGACTTATTCATGGGAACACAAAATATACGGCGAGAAAAGAAAAAAGTAAGAGAGAGTCCCAAATGAAAAGTTAGATAGATATTATTAAATAAATATAGAAAATAGGTATATTTAGAATGAATTAAAAACATTCAAGTTAAACAAACAAAAAACTACAAACTTGAGGTGAGTGTCTTCAAGGCGTGAAGATGAAGAGGTATTGGAAACTGCATGTCATTAGACCTTATTCACGATCCCTGCATTAAAACAGTTCCACATTTGAGATTATACCACATTAAGTACATGTATATTTGATATGTGCATAAAACTCTAAAATCGTGTCATAAACATTTCTTACTATTCATTTATCATAAAGATACATATTAAGTTACAACTGTAGATGTCCTGAATATTAATAAACCTAACTCTCTAAATGGCGTTTATATACATGTATATCTAAGACTCCAAAGTGCGATGGTGACGCAAAAATGCGATGGTCTCCCCAAAGTCCGATGACCTGCGCCAAACGTTAATGTTAATTCGTGGGTAAGGGTGGCTCACGAAATCCACGAACATTGACCCCCCACGAAAATTGATGATTCTACAGAAAATGAGAGCCCTTGGCTCGAGGATACCATCGGCAAAAATTTGCTCAGGGGTATTCTCTTTATAGAAATGGACAGGCATTTGTCTACATCCATGGCAAATACCTGTTCACTTCTCTAAAGAGAATACCTCAGGGGTTCTTGAGATATTAAGAAATTAGACATTTTAATAACAAATTTATTCAACATTTTAAAAACATTTTTTTCTACTGATATAGATTGAAGCTATATATTGGAAACAAAAATATTTTGTTTTGTAGTCGCAAACAAATCTTACACTACGCAGAAGTATTCGAAAACAAGTAGTAAAATACATCCCATTCATTTCAATTTGGTCTATTTTGGCATTTCAGGAACAGGTAACTAAAGGTAATTTTGTTTCATTAGTAAGGTGTCGGACTGTCAGTCTGTAAACAATTTTTCACAATGCTAGTCCTCCTACGGTTTTGGTCTGATTTCAATATAACTCAGAACACAAGTAGACTGCACTAAGATGCATAATCCATTTGATCGGTTTTTGATTTCGATGAACGGTGTTGCCGTGGTTACTATAAATAAAACTTCCTGTGAAATACTTTTAAAATGCTACTCCTACCACAGTTTTAGTCTGATTTCAATATAACTTGGCACGAAAGAAGACCACACTTTGATAGATACATAATTATTTGTATCGGCTTTTGATTTAGATAAATGTTTTTGCCTTAGATACTAAAATATAAATTTCTGTAAAAGACTTTCAAAATGCTACTCCAAATTCATTTTTAATCTGATTATAATATAACTTAGCACACATGTAGACTACAAATTCTTACTTACTTAGACCTCTTCGTGCCAGGTGGCACATAAGGCAGCAACACAGTCCCTCCACCCAGTCATATCCTTTGCTTTTCTTTTTACTTCCTTCCACGTCAGCACTATCTCTTTCAGCTATTTCTCTGATGTTCTTCGCCATGTTGGTTTAGGCCTGTCCCTTTTCTCTTGTCATCGGCTGTCCATAAAATGTTCTCTCTCTCTTGTGATATTATACTGGTCTTTTCTGAGCACATGGTCAACCCATCTCCACTTTCTTCTTACAATCTCCGCCACAATGTATTCCTGTCCTGACAACTAACTGAGTTTGTTGTTGGACACTATTTTTGGCCATCTGATCTTAAATATAATCCGTAGGCAACGATTTACAAACATTTCAGTTTCCTTGCGAAGTCTTTCCGGAGATTCTAGCATTCTGATCCGTATAATAGTATTTTAAGATGGCAAACATGTAACGGGCTTTGTTGATTCTTGATGTAATATCCTTTTCAGTACCCCCTGATGTTAATACAATGCTGCCTAGGTACTGGGAGTATGTGAAGTTGTCTACATCTTCCAAATGCTCTCCATTAACTTTTAAGGGGTTGTTATTTCGTGCATTGATTCTCATTAGAAGCTCTATTTTGGTCTTGTTAAAATTGATAATTAAGCCAAGACATCTAGATGTTGTATAGAGTTTGTTTGTTTTCTCCTGGATTTCCTGATAGGTTGATGAGATGAGACATAGGTCATCGGCATAATCTAGGTCATCCAGTTTGTTTTCCATTCTCCATCTAATGCCGTTTTTCTTATCTCTGGTGGATTCTCTAATGACCGATTCTATGGCCACTAAGAAAAGCAGAGGCGATAGCATACAGCCCTGTTTCAGTCCCGATTTTACTGGAAACCACTCTGTTTTGGCATTGTTAACCATCACACTACACTGAAATCCTTCATGCACTGCCCTGATGATGTCAATGATCTTTGGTGGTTGGCCATACAATCTCAAGAGTTTACATAAACTTTCTCTTTGATGTACACTATCAAACGCCTTTTCAAAGTCTACAAAGTTTAGGTATAGAGAAGACTGCCATTCTATTGACTGCTCTATAATATTTCGTAATACGAAAATTTGGTCGCAACATGATCTTCCTGGTCTAAACCCTGCTTGCTCCTTTCTCAGTTGTGCATCGACTTGTTCTTTTACTCTGTCTAAAAGCCTTCTGGTAAACACTTTTCTTATTGTGGGTAAAAGTGTTATTCCACGCCAGTTGTTGCATTCTGATTTATCTCCCTTTTTCGGTAGTTACCTTGTTGGTTGTCCAAATGTCTTGGAGCAGATTATATATGACCTTTGATATTGCTTCAATGTCCACTTTAAGTAATTCTGCTGGTATGTCATCTACTCCTGCAGCTTTGTTGTCTTTCACCTTTCTGGTAGCCTTCTGTATTTACTCTACACTTCCAAATGTATTCCCTTCACACTGATGTCAAGTTCTGCTATGTTGTTATTGATTTCGATATCTGGTGGTTGAGTTGGGTTTCTCTATTCAGAACTGATCTAAAATGTTCTGCACATCTTTTCAAAAATGTCACTGTCCTTGGAAAAGATATCGCCATGCTGGTCTTTTATAACGTTTGAATTGTTGGTGAATTTGCCAGACATCAGTTTAGTGATATTATACAGTTCTTGAATTATGTCCTTGCTGCTTCCTCAGCTCTACTCATATTGTCTTTGTCGGTGTGTCTCGCCTCGCACTCCTTTTGACCTCTCTATCTTTTTCCCTGTAGGACTTTGATAGGGATTCCTGCTCCGAGCTGTCTTTGCAGTCTAGGATCTTTGATTTGATCTTTAAGTTTTCTCTCTGAATAAGAGTCCATGTATCAGATGTTAGCCACACCTCTTTCACACTTGTCCTAAATCCTAATGTCTCAGTTGCTGCTGAAGCTAGACAATCCCTGGTGTTATCCCACTTTTCGTCTATGTTTTTCCTTTGTCCATCATCTCTAAAGCAGAAAATCTATTCCTCAGCTCCAGCTTAAAGCCTTCCTTTATCTCAGGTTGTTGAAGTTTGTTCACTGCTAACTTCCTCAGTCCTTGCACTTTCCTCTCTGCTCTTAACTTCAGTTGTATTTTGGCAAGTAAGAGTATGTGATCACTGTTAATGTCTGCACCTCTGTACGTCCGGGCATCTATGACTGATCTCCTCCACTTCTTGTTGATCATGATGTAATCGACCTGATTCTTTGTTCTCTTATCTGGAGAAATCCAGGTATATTTTTGATTGTCCTTGTGTGCAAAGATGGTGTTGCAAACTACTACATGCAACCCATTCATCTCACAAAAATCCATTAGGCGTTCTCCGTTTTCATTCATCTGTCCCATGCCATGTACATTTACCCCAATGCATGCATCCCTGCCGGTGTTATCACTTCCAACTTTTGCGTTCACGTCCCCCATTACTATCACCATATCGTGTTTTGGAGTTCGATGTAATACACTCTGCAGTTGATTGTAAAAGATATCTATCTCTTCATCACTTGCATCATGAGTTGGTGAGCTTGAATCACACTGAGCTTGATCTGTTGCGAATCGAACCTAGTATATAACATTCGATGATTCACTGGGTACCACTCTAGCAACGTCTTTGATGTTTCCTTGCTCATCATTATTGCAACGCCACTCTGGCGATCTTGATCCTTCCCTAAGTATATGATGGTCTCACCACTACTACAAGTCATTTTTCCAGAGCCTGTTCACCGTGCTTCACTTATATCCAGAATGCTGATGTAATATTGCCTCACCTCTTTGGCAATATGTACTGCTCTGCTATAAATTTCAAACATAGTTTGCACATACCATGTATAGACGTCATACTTGATATATTTCTCTGTGTGTCTATTTCTGTAGTCAGCGTTTACCCCAGAAGGGGTGACTGGCCCCATGCTGCAGGCGTCGCCCCGTTAGCCGGCATTACCCGTTTCCACCTCCTAAGACGGGGACGTGGGGCTTAGACTTCAGCAAACTATACATTATTTCTCAAAATGTTCCTCCTCCTACAGTTTTGGTTTGATTTCAATATACTAGTAACTTGACACACAAGTAGACTACACTAAGATACAAAATTCGGGTTGGATGGTATGTGAGGTTTGCATAATATGTGAGGGTCGGATGGAACCCGAAGAGGGTTGGGTGTTATAATAATTTAGTGTTGGATGGAGTCATGAGAGAGTTGGATATTATGAAAGGGTTGAGAGGTAAGAGAGGCTGTAATGGGATCAAGAGAAGATTGGATGGTATTTAAGTACCTTTGAAGGTTGAATCGCATTCTGAGAGAATTGTTGGTTTGAGAGGGTTGAATAGTATGAATTGGTTCCCGGTAACGGGTTGGATGGATTTATGACATATAAATATGAATGAAGAATATTCAATTATGTTAGGACAAAAAAAGTCTTTTGGTATTTTAGGTAGTAACTGTACGTGTCATTTATCCCACGCATGCCATGTCGTACAATTTATTTACCATAAATCAGAAATTAGGAAATCTTTAATAATTCCAGCCTTTTTTCAAGCAAAAAAAAAAAAAAAAAATGGAGGAATTCAAATGATAGTACTATATATATATAAAAAGAAAAGAAAAGGGTGATGCATGTTTGTTTAGGGGATGCATACTCGTTTGATTCTGAAGCGCATGGGTTGGAATTTTTTCGGTTAATTTATTTTTTTTCCATTACATTGAAAAATTATATATATTTATTTTCAAGATGATCAGAGACCAATTAATACAGTAACTTTGAAATAATGTTGCCTGAACATAATTAAATACCTATTAAACAATGCATGTCACTTTTCAACACTATACAGTGTCAAATAACATGTACCAAAATGCATGTATTTCTTATTCGCTTAAAAAAGGAGTGCCAAACCAAAAAGGGAAACTTGTATACTGTTTATGCCTGGAGAGAAGAAAAGCCTGTCCTCAATATGCTTTAATGACAAAAAATTGATATTACTGATGCAAAATTTATATCATGCATAAGAAATATAATTTTTTGAAAAAAAGACTTCTTCTTCCCATCCAGTGCAAAACCACTTAATTAAGTATTATCGCACTCTGCGTGAGGGGTGAGTGTCTATATACAGTGCCCCCCCCCCCCCCAAAAAAAATAAAAGTTTAAAAGATTAAAAGCGCAGAGACGCGACATCTAGTGGCTGGCATTGGACAGCTGGGTCTTGAAGCTGTCCAGGGTCTTGGCCTCCACCATTCCTCCTGGCAAGGAATTCCACAGTCGGATGGCTTGAGGGAAGAAGGAGGTCTTATACACTTCTGTCCTTGTGTGTGGTACCAGGAATCGCAGGGTGTGGCCTCTGGTCCTCAACGATGCTGGGTGTAAGTAGCTCACCGCCGGGATGTTCACGAGATGATAGACTATCCTGTATAACATGATAACTTGGGCCCTTTTCCGACGGATCTGAAGTGACTGTCATTGGAGCTGCTGTAGCATGGATGTTACACTGCTTGTGCGCTGGTAGTCTCCAATGGCAAATCTTGCTGCCCTTCGTTGAACTGCCTCAATCTTCTTGATATTCTCCTTCTTAGCTGGGCTCCACACACTGGAGGCATACTCAAGTGTGGGTCGTACCAGTGTGGACTTGACTTTAGCGCTTCGTGCATATCATTGATATCAGTTAAAAAATTTGAATGAAAAAAAAATGTTCAAATTGAGATTTATTCTCACTTTAGTAAAGTTATTCATTTTTGTGTCAGAGACTCAGAGAGAGAGAGAGAGAGAGAGAGAGAGAGAGAGAGAGAGAGAGAGAGAGAGAGGTCGCATTCACTAGGGACAGACAACTCTGAAATTGAGTTATGCCAGCACTCGCCGACCTACAAGCAAGATTTAAAAGAGTTATTACAGTGGGTAAGCGGTACGTACAACTATTATCCCTGGCTGCTATATGCTATAAATGGCCCATATGTGTTTTTAGAACAACGATAGGTTAAAGGTAAGTTAACGTATATTTCAGAATTTGTTGGAACCCCTTTAAAAATAAAATTATTTAGATTGCAACACAAGTTCACAAGACCACTGGCACTGCAAGAACGTCTGCAATGCCTTGCGAGATTAGTTCTTGATGATATGCAGTGAATTGAATTGTGTTTAACTTTTTAAATGTTTCTAGAGTGATAAAAGGGTTTAATTAGGACAGAACTAAAAAGATTATTGCTTAGATTTAATTAAAATCACATGAAACACATGTTTGTTCTGCTGAAAGAAGAAACGATCGTGAACACCTGACAGGTCTATAAATAACTTAGAAATCCTCCTTAGCACTGTGTAATCCTCTGCTTTATCGGGCACATGCAGTGTGTAAACATTGTATTTGATGGAACGTACACCATGTATAGGCCTATACAGACAGAGGTTCGTAATCTTGTTAAAGAATTGGGCTATAAATGTAGTTTGAGTAGTCTTTGATAAAAAATGAATAAGTCCATTGATTTTGTGCCAGGCCACAAAGTAACATACATGTATGTACTGCTGAAGTTTATCTCAGCATCCGCAGACATAATTAATCAAGGTATAATTTAACAATACATATTTCAATTAATGTCACCTGGGTCACTCAGGTGACCTTTTAGTTTAGACCTGTACCTGACCATCAGTATGTATACCCAGGGACCTATATACTAAATATATATTTAGTATATAGGTCCCTGGTATACCTGCAGCAATTAATGTGTGCATTGGGGTGGGTCTGCTTATGTAGATGTTAAAGGGGAGAATCTTCTTGACCCCCAGGAAACTAAGGGGTGTGACAGATTACAAGTATGTAATGTTCACAGCCCCTGAAATTGGTATAAAGCATATAATAGTTTCATGGAGTGAATGTGAAAAATGTCTACATGGTAGACCCATCAATTTTTACCCTACAAAATCTCTAGAATCCAGGAGCTTCCTGGGGCTGAAATTGCTCCCTGAGCTCCCATCAAGGTCTGCCATGGACCCATTGGGACCTCAAGGCAGCCCCTATAGACCCCTTGTTTACTTTTTGCACCCCTTAGCTTAAATTCCTGTATCCATACCTGGTATTAATTAAGACTCATGTCTAGTGTAACTGTTTGAAGTTACTTTAAAATGACATGCAGGGTTGACTGCTTATTATGAAGACTTTATGCATTAATTGTGATAATTTAAATGTATAAAACATACATGTATATGTATTTAGTTCATTTCATATCAATCAGTCTTCAGTTCTTGGTCATTGCCAAAGAAAACTTCAATATGACATTTCGGAGATTGTATTATACGTAGTACTTTATTAACTGGTCATTATCCCAAGCCTCTCCTTTGCTTGATGAATGTTCCTTTTTAATTATATTGATATTCAATCTCTATTTCTCTTTTTTTTTTCAATCCAGCGTGCTATCTTCCTGCCATGACACAACTGTAGCTTAGTCAGTGGCCATTTGGACCCAAAGGAATGTGTACCCCCTGTGGGGCCCCACCACCTCCACCTCCCCCCACACACAGTGGTCCAGCAACCCGTATCAGTCTAAAGAACATTTCCGGGGCAGTACTAATGGTGCCACAGGAGCCAACTAATCACAGCAAAGAACATCTCAGGAAGAATATCAAAACAACCATGTATGTGTTTTCTTGTTTTTACTATTCATTTTAAGTTATAAACCATATGTTCAGAATTTTCTTATTTTAAGTATTTTAAAAAAAAAGTTAATTGAAGTTACACATATGTACCATGTTTCCCAGGGTATTACTTTCAGGAAAAAGTTGCCAATATGTGGCCCTGATTCACATGGATGTCAATATTAAGAAATTATTATCTTCAAAAAATAAATAGAAAATGTATGAGGAAGTTTTTACAATACTTTTTTGTGATATTGTACAAAATAATCTATTTGCAATCATTATGATAAAAAAAAAAACTTGAAAGTACTTGTACATGCAACGTCAACATTTCCTTCTTTCACTTATCTTGGAAGATAACATTGCTGGGCATTTAGTGGAAATTATAGGAATGAAAATCTAACTGTAAACCACTTGTTTTTTATGTCCTTATACATGTACTTATCATCAAGAGATTTAAGATGTCATGGCAAATGAAAAATAAGCATGATAAGACAGTTTATTATGACTATATAGTTATGTCACCTCTTGACATATGTTTTTTTTTCCAGAGAGAAGGATATTCCAAATTTGTCTTCCAGAGTCATTGTATCTTCCAATAGCACTGTCCACCCAATACTTCAAGATGGGCCATGGTAATAATTAAGTTGCATGTTTTATTGAGATTTTGTGTAAAAAAAAAAGTTAGTTGTTGATCATTAGAATTTGTCAGTAAACTATAGAACTTAAATTGGCAGGTAAAGTAGTACCGTGCTATCAAACGTATTTCTTCATAGCATGCGTGTAATACATGTATATATATACTACAAGTACAATGTACAGGTCTGTTTTATAGTTGCGGAGTTGTTGCCCTTGCCATGGCTGCTCAAATGTTGAAGAAAGAAATGGCAGCCACACACATCTTAGAGACAAGTCAGAGGAAAGGCTTGTCATTGCAGGGAGAACTCTTCTCAGGTATAGCTCGATCTTATATTATAGATAATTTATTTTTGAAATAAAAAAAAGATCTGTTTTGTTATCTTTGATTTGCTTACAGCCACCAACGGAATATGTTAGATACATGTAATTAATATAATATGATCTTCCATGGTTTGTGATTGAATATTATATTTTTCAAAGTATTAATTAAGTTGTGTTTCTTTATTTTCCTTACCTTTGGATCTGCTGCCATGCAAATTAAATATATAATCTTTGCTTTCATCAGTTTTCTGACTTCATAATTTAAAAAAAGATTTGAATTTTCAAGTCTTGTTTTATTACCCAAGTACTGTAAGGGCTGATATTAAGTTTTTTACAATCTTTGTGTTAAATTCAAATTCAAACTCATGGGATATTATAAGGGCATATTCCATTATTGATGCCCAGTTCAGTTTTCCTTTTCGAATCTGTAGGGGCATAATATATAATCAGTTCATTTCTCTCATACAAGTTTATGTCTTACCATACCATTTCCTGTGCACATACTAAATTTAATTTATTTAATTGCAGCCTATGATATGGCCACATTAGCAGAGGAAATTCTGGATTGTACAGCCACTGTTATAGATATGAGGGACTCAGGATCCAGGGAAATTCTCCTGGGACATTTATCCAACAGTCACCCTGTCCTAGTGCCGTATCCTTAATGGAGGATGCTTTATCTTATTATTTAATTACGCAGCATTGTTAAGGCTTGAATAAGGGGGTGGGGCCTAATTTATACGGGAAAAGTTTACTGTGACGTCATGCAAAAATATGACTTTTATGTATTTCTCATTGTACCTGAGAATGAAATAGTTTGCAACTTTTAACTGTATAGGCATAATAAACAACAATAAAACTTATCAATGCATTTAAAAAACTTGCTAGTTAAATCCCATGTAGCTGGTTATAGAAAAAGCACTGATCACGATGAACTTGTAAACATGACGTCATTTTGGTAAAAATGACGTATTTCATGTGCTGTGAGAGGCAGATTGACGAATTTTTTAACAATGAAAAATGCGTTTTATTATCAAACGGAATATTATTTACAGGTTTTAAATAGTCGATTAATACCAATGCATATCCTTTGTTTAGTTCATTTATTAACTATCTACCAAGAGAATGTATTTTATTAATTATGTCGTGTTTTTATGTACAGGTTACGTATATTTTACATTGGGATGCCTCATAAAATCGCACTTTCGCAAGGGCATACACTTCATAGATCTTAACCATTTTTTGAATAGAGATAAAGGATATTTTTCTTAACTTGAAAAGTGCTGCTGCTTTCTTTAAATCAAGGGCATGATTTTATAAGTACACAAAATATTTGGTAAAAGTCAAACATATTTCAACATTGGCTTATTTACCTGAAAATTTAACTATTAAAACGCGAAATCTATTCAAAGCAGCAGCACTTTTCAGAAACTACAAAGTATGCAGAAACAAATAATAACTTGAATTTTCAATTTCAACTAGGGTATGCCCTTGGGATATTGAAATTTGTTCATGACCTACATTCAGTACCCGAACTATGCATTCATCAGGTGACTGTCCATCGATGGGACCAAACTTCAAACAATACAGAGTGGGTTATACTATGCTATTTCAATAAGTAATTGTATTCTGTGATAATAAAACAGCTTGATTAAAATAAATTCAGTTTTAAAAAGGTCCCCCTTTTTTGCACGTCTATTTTCCGTTGATTTCTCATAGTAGGCCTTGACAGTGCTGCGTATTTTTTATGCTCCTGGATTGAAAGATCCTGGGGGTATATATATAATTGTTTTTGTCCTATCTGTTTGTCTGTCTGTTGTCAACATTAACCTAGCCCATAACTATACTGCGCTGTCAAGGGTAAGGATTTTAATATTTGACATGGGTGTTCATTAAGACAGGAATTTCCATTGGTAGAGATTACAGAAATTTTTTATCATGTGACCTCAGCTGTGACCTTTGACCTACATTTGAAAAAGTTTGACATTGGCCACAACTACCACTTCAGTCCATATCCCACTCCAGTATTGTGTTACCATTGGGGGCATAAAGCTACACAAACACATCTCGTTGTGATAATTGAATTTTTACTTTCATTAATAGTTAGCATGCAGTGTATTATTTTGTACTTATTCAGTATTATAGATATATGATAGAACAAACAAAATGATCAGAATAATTTTGTATTAACTGGGCATTAGATATGATGGAGACAAAAATAATGGACCTTGTTTGAAGAATGGAAATAAAGCTCACTGGGCTGTACTCACAGGTAGCTAAGAATTTAAAGCTTGTGTCTAATATTCATTGACTAAGATGTACATGTCATAGTCATGGGCAATGCTAATAATTTCACTCTCTGAATTTGCATATTTTGTATTGTCTGTATATAGGCAGATTTTGAATTATTTAGGATTTGTTGACCATAATTCCTTGCTATTTAATTTGTACTTGTATCTTTCCACTTAAGTACCCTGGTAAAAGAGAACATTGTTTTTTTCTGAAAAATATTTTTGTTTTCAACTTTCATTCATATGACCATTTATTCTAAATATTTGATAAAAACAAGAGATCTCCAGCAATCTCATTCTTTGCAAACAAGTACAGATCGAGTGAAAAATTTTAACTTTTAATTTCTTGATTTTGAATAGGGTTCCTTTTCTCACTTGCAAGAACTTTGCTGCCTGACAATCTGGGAATGACAGAAGACCTTGAATTATCTCCCTTATATGAAATTCAGCCACAGAAAGCCTCTGCACTTCAGAATCTCCTTGTTTCATCGCCAGACATTTTCGTGTACGGCATGCAGGGCAAGAGTCAAAACATCGGTGTGTGGTCACTGGACAGAGTGTTGGAGAGTAATGCGAATTTACGGGAGGTGGATCCAGACAGAGAAGCGGAGGTGGAGCAGTACATTATACCCCAGGAGGGGATCCAAAGGGTTCTGTGCAATAAAGTTGTGATCTTATGCAATCAAAATTTAAATAGTCCTTAAAAAGAATGTACTTATTTTTTGTATTACAAATCATACTTAAATATTTGAATTTTTAAAAGTTTTAATTTTCTTTATGAGAGTTATACATGTACATATGCCAAAGAATGTACTTATTTTTGTTTTACAAATCATATTTAGATACATGTATTTGATTTTTTTTCAAGTTTAATTTTTGTTTTCTTTATGAGAGTTATACATGTACATGCATTTACAACCCTATGATAGTCTGTAGTTTTGCCAGTATTTTGCCAATATATATGTTAATAATGTAAACCAAAGCTTAGTTACAGTCGGTAACCTCAGTAATTATTCAGTATTAACAATAGAAACCAAAATTTATTTATGGTTGTGTCCTCCTGAAAAAAGTAACGTCTACATATAATAATAATAATGCTTTATCCATATGATCGAATTACGTATGTGGTTGTGATGAATAGTTTGAATAATTCCTGAAAGAATGTACTTATATTTCTATTTTGGCACATATTTGTCATTTTTAAATTGAAGTTAATTGTTTTGTTAATGTCAAAGTAATTTAAACCTGATTGAATGTGTGTGGTTGTGATGAAGTTGAATTGATTCTTAAAAGAATACTGTAGATCACTAAATTTTCGCAACGCCTTATTTTTGCGAGATAGGCATTGATTCCTGATATTCGTGAAAAATTTTCACATATTGTGGTTTTTGCTTAATATAATCTTAAGGAATACTATTATACTTGAGAATTAAATTTTCCCGCGTACACTTTCTTGCAAAATTAAGCAAAAGGAAAGTTTTTGCAAATAAAAGTGATTTACAGTATGCTCATTCAAGTCATTATTTTTGTTTTGAATGTGATTGATATACAAATAAATCCATTTACAATTCTTGCAGGCCTGGATAGGAATCAAGGAGGCAGGGGTAGGGGCAATTACTTTGCTAGTATATAAAATATTTATTTAAAAGAAAACCAAAGCTACTTACATGTAATCATAGATGGCTACCTCAATAATTTTCATGATCAGTATTTACAATAAAGAGCAAATGTTATGGTTTTTATTCTTTTTAATAAAATTTATATACCCCCTAACCTTAAAAAAATTGTAATCATTTAAAATGTATGTACTTTATACTTGTACATGATGCATTTATTTTCTTGCCAAACAGGATATATTTTTCTGTGCATTAGAGGTGAATAGTTTATCGATTATATTGTTTTTCCCTATGTACTAGTGTTCCTTTATGTGGCCCCTTGCTTTCAACCATTTGCTTCCTACAGGCCTGCTTTGACAATCATTTTACATTGATCTGCGATAATAATTTTTTGGATTGTTTATAAATAAAGTTGACATTTTTTATGCTTTCATGACATTTTGTTTGTATTTGAATTCTCAAATTGGATTCATCTTGAAATCAGCCACTTTAACATTACAGTTGTGAATCAAATCACCTTTGTGGCCAAGTGGTCAAGAGCCTTTGCTCTAGAGTCATGAAGTATGGAGTTGATCCTTATGCTGCAGGTTCAAATCCCACTCTGGTACATAGACCGATTTTTTTTTTTCAGATGAGACTGTGTATAAGCTGAGGTTATGTGTTGCATTAGGTGACAAAGTTCTGGCACAAGAAGACCCCTCTTTTTGAGATATTTTAAAGTGTACACTTAATAAAGAAGATTGATGAGAAACATGTTTGTGCATAGATATTTATTTGATAAAAATGTGTTAAAAGACACAATAACAAACTCTGTAAATAGTTTTTTCACTGAGATGAATCTAAGAAATAACAATATAAATATATTCTAAAATTTGTCTAAATAGCACTTTTAACTGGCAGATATTTTCTTTAAAATTATCTCAATTTTTGAGATTATAGCAACCATTAGTCTTTAATCAAAACAACAACAATCATTTAATATCTCTTAACATCCTTGTACCTGTTACAATGTAATACGTACATATGTAATACCTTGAACTCGAAAGTATTCTTTTGAGATTGAACCATGATATGATGACTAGCAGTGACAATATATATTTTTTTCCCTGAATTCTTTGTTGTAATACAAAACTAGTATTGTCACATATGCTAGCAGCAATAATGTAGCCCTCTACAATTTTTTTTATCGGATATTTTCTGGATTCTCCCCCCCCCCCCCCCCCCAAAAAAAAAAAAAAGGAGAAGGCTACATTATTACAGCTACATGTATCACATACTGACTTTTCAGGAGAATCTATTAACCTTTTTAAAGTATAAACCATAAAAGTTCCATGATGAAAATTGAGAGAAATATACCCTGTCATGTCAGTTTGCATTGTCAAAATAGATACACAGTCCTCTTGCTTCTATAAAAAGTCTTAGCATAAGTTACATAAGTGTATATTATTATTCTAATAATGTAGCCCTCTACAATTTTTTCATCTGATGTTTTCTGGATTCTCTCTCTTTCTCTCCCCCCCCCAAGAAAAAGAGGAGGAGGCTACATTATTACAGCTACATGCATGTATCACATACTGACTTAACAGGATTATCTATTAACCTTTTTTAAAGTACGTACATGTATATCTGTAATGCAAAGATTACAAGATGTCCTATCTTTAAATCCTCTCTATAAACCGTAAAAGTTCCAAGATGAAAATTGAGAGAAATATACCCTGTCAGGTCAGTTTGCATTGACTATATAGATACACAGTCCTCTTGCCTCTATAAATTGTCTTAGCGTAAGTTACATACATGTAAGTGTATATTATTCTAAAAATATAAGAAATGGGAGACTAATTTCAGGTTTGCCTTGAGCGTGATAGAGGTTTGATGAATCTGTGTATAAAATCAGCTTCAGACATGGTATGGTATGCGACGGATTCCGTATTGTGATGTTTGAAGTGATCAGCTGTGAAGTTCGCACTAGTAACCATAACCTCTGCCCTTCCTTTTCCATCCGTACAACCGATAAACTTGGCGTGGAAAGTAGAGAGAGGATATACAATACTGTTGTAAACTTTGTATTCAATGACGGGCTGCATTTTCCCTGGGAAATGATTTTGCGCGCTTCTCTTGACATCAGAGATTTTTTCTGTATAGTTACATTTGATGCGTACAAAGAAAGCTTCTATGTTTGCTGTAGTGAAGTTTTTGAGGACAAGGTCACAGATGTCAATCATCCTGTCTGTGTCTAGGAAGGGCGTGGCTAAGTAAACATGGCAGTCAGGGTTGGACAGCCAATGAGAAAGCAGAGATTTCCAGAGTTTGTAAATGTATGTGGGGCCATCTTTGATTATGGGTGTTCCTAGCTGTGTCAGTTGCCTGTTTAGCACATCTCCAGTCCACTATAATAAAAAATAAATGCATTGTATATATATACAATATTCTTTTACATGTATCCCGCTAATATCTGAACATTCTGCAGCATAAAGAATTAAATATGTAATATTTGCAGATCAATATTAGTTTTCATGTTTAGGAGAAGGTAATATTAAATTCAGTCTTAAAAGTTAATTTTGAAATTAAGAACATAATTTAGAGCTGCACTCACTAAATTTTGAAACAGAACTATATAGCCTTTAATTATCAACTTTTATCTTTTCAATTTTAAAATGGATATTATTTTTAGTTATACATGTACATGTATATGAACATAGATGGTTTGCTATTAAATTCATAATTTTGGCTTTTAAGAATGCATTTATACATTCTTTTTTCAATTTGTTTATTTATACATCTGTATAAGGACATTTTGTGAAACTCTTACAAGGTCAAGTGACAGAAGTTCCAGATCCTCAGTGAGGTCCTCCAGAGTTGTCTCTTCTTTGTCAGCACTCTTCTTTTCCTCTGTCACCTCCTCTCTATTGAGGTTGGTCTCTTCCTTAACATAAGCTATTTCTAGAGGTGGCATGTCATCCAAGGTCAAGGCCTTTTCTTCAAGTTCTCTCTGTTTTTGAAGTATTTTTTCTACAAAATACAAAAGTAATAATTGTTACTAATTTTTGTCTTCTTAAAAAAAATTCTTCTCAGGTTAGCAAGAGAGTGGGGCCTGCTTAATCTGGATGCCAATTGTCTGTCATAAGGCATCATCTTCCAGACAAAAATGGCAAGGAAAAATTTATATTTACTAATTTTGTTTCAGTAAATGGACATTTCATTAATTTGGACAATTTGCTCAGGAACATATGATAAATTTCTGGATTATCCAGGCTCAATCTGTCTGCCTCTGTGGAAAGTTGCATTGCAAAGGGCAAAGAGGAAATTTGTAGTGGATGAACTATTCTGAATTAGCTACGATATCAAGAAGAGATAATTGAAATTTTTTTTTTACAACTCTACCTTTTTCTTCAGCATCTTTCTTCATGAGTTCTGACCACTTCTTTTCATGCTCCAGGTATCCATCAGACACTGGCTGGGGCTCCAAAGGGGGCATATCATAAGCATCCATTACCTTGGAAAATCTCTTCAGAAACCAGTCTAAGACAAAACTGCCCTGAATGGTCAGAGTACCAGTAGTCATGTAGACAGTGATGGAGACATCGTCTACTCTTAACATGACTTTGTAATGACCGTTTTTATCGTACAGTTTTTTGTACGGGTACCTTTGTACCGGATAGTTGTTAGGATGCTGTAAAACATTCATCCAAAATGTTCCGAGAAGAATCGAACCCTGTTTTCCCCTCCTCTTGACCACGATTATTGATGGACTTGATAAATCTAAGTACACTGATTCTGCAGTTTTTGACTTCACGAAGTCTTCTAATCTGGTTTCCATGGCTGCTTTACCACCCATTATGGTTTATCTAGAAAAAGAATGAGAATATGGAATGAATTTTTAGAAACTTCTGGAAAAAATTCTACCTCGGCGCCAAGTCAAAAGTATCTCACAGTGAACCTTTAGCATGCTGGAGTAACTCGGACTGAGCTTTTGAGCACTCATTCATATTGACAGAATTCACACAAATGTAAACTAAGTGACATAAATCAACACAAATCCGTTATCATTCTTTGCCATACAGCAAACACATGTAGTTCAAATACTTATTAAGGGCATTGTCGCCCGCCATGCTTTGTCAGTCAATGCTCTTCAGCATAAAAATATGCTTGTTAATATTTTTACTGAATTTGTTATTAGTTATATACTATCTTCAAACTTTAATGCAGAAATAGGACAGAATTTCCTTATCAAAAATCCGTTGCTAATATAAACACAAAATTGTATTCAAGCTTTTCGCCTTAAATTGACAATGTTCATATCAATTTTAATATTACCTTTCTGGAAACGTTGACTTTGGTGAATTTAAGAGCAATCTGTACAAGAAAATGTTTTTTAAAGATAATTTTGGAGAGAAATTGCCAAATCAATGCCTTGCTGCATTATTTATACAATTTAGACTTTTCGTTGTTTCCTACACTGAAGAGCTATTTGGAAAGTGAAAGTAGAATCATGCGCTTCTTTTGTACTGCTGGTAGAGGAACAGAGATTTTTGCTTGTCAAGAAGTGCGCAAAGAGTTTAATCTATGTAGTGATTTGGTAATATATGTAATGATTTGGTAATAATTGTTTTAAGGATGTCTATCAATATCTAGTAAAACTAAAAGAAGAAGCATAAAAAGGGTTTAAAACGTTTGTTTAACTTTATGTTGAAAAATTAAAGATTCTCTTATTGAGATAAAATCCAGTAAGGTCAATATGTATATATGGATCGCTGTATATTATACAGCTGTAAAAACCGTTTACAATGTAGCAGCATCCTTTATGACTTTATTTGTAAGAAAGGCATCATTTTATGTACAGGTTCCCAAATCTGAAGGCAAGGTGTATTTTCAAGGCAATGTGAACCAAATTGAAAGAATTCTTCAATTGAAGACTGTGGAGAGGGCATTTGCACTGGTCTTGCATGTGGACTCAAACAAATACAAAGGTACATCTTTCTGGGTATATAATTAAGAAATTTATCACCCTTATTTCCCCCCTCCCCCTGAAAAGCAGGAGAGTATATAGAAATCGGTATGTCCGTCCATCTGTCTTTTCATCCGTCCATCTGTTACATTTTAGGGTACTTATCTCTTATTAGCAACTCCTGTTATACCACTGAATGAAATTTAATGAGACTTTCACAGAATCTTTGTTAAACAGTCAGGGGTGTGATTGAAATCCATCATTTTTAAAAATGATGATTTTCAGTCATTAAATTGATTTTTAATAATGATGGAAATTCATCTTTTTTTAGTAAAATGATGAAAAACAGTCATTTCTATTTTGAAATTTATTTTAGAAATAGAGTTATCTCTGATATTAAAAATGACTGTTTTTCATCATTTTTTATCAAATTGTTAGGTCTGGGCGCACTTAATTATCTCATTAGTTTTACGGGGCGCACTAAATTATTTTGGTTTCAATTACTTGTCAAGATGTTTCTCTACACAAGGGTCTATGGCAGGATAGTGTACTATATCTAATTACTGTAGTAAATGGGATGGGAAAATTGACTTGAGAATGGAAATATGATGAAAAGACGTCATATTTACAAAAATCAGAAAATTGTGTACATTATATACTTAGAAGAAATTACCATTATCCATCATTTTTAAAAATGATGGATTTCAGTCACACCCCTGACTGTTAAATAGTGCCATTGTGCACCTCCTATTTTACTATTTGATCGGAAAAATGTTTTGGGTTTTCCAGAGCAAAACATTGACACTTCCGTTTTTTCTATAATATTGAAGAGTACTCATTTCTTATCTTCAACTCATCATATACCAATGAATAAAATTTAATGATACTTTCACAGATTCTTTATTACATGACGCCATTGTGACCTCCTATTTTACTTTTTGATCTGACACTTATTTCGGGTCTCCCAGCAAAACAGGGACTTTGTCATTATAATCATATCAGAGGCGGGGGTATCATTTAGTAAGCTATTTGCTCATTGTACCTCTAGTTTGCCTTAATGTTTTCTATTTAAGTTCAATATCAGAGATTGATAGGTAACTTAATTACATGTATCAATAGTGTCCTCATAGTTAAATTACAAGGACAAATAGAATTTTTTAAAAGACAACAGATTAGAATATTTTTCAGTATATTCCTTTTGATTCAAATTTTATTACATGCAGATCTAGACAGGGCAACATTTTTAAACAATCTGAGGACAGATATCCTAAATGAAGATTCTTGGAAGAATGAAGACCTCAAAAGTGTAATAGAATACCTGAAATCCAGACACGGTGGCATTTTACAAAGGGAGGGAATTCCTGAGGGTGGAGAAGGTCCTCCTAGCAAGAAAATCAAGCAGGAGAGGAAACTCAGCTTCAGGGTGTCTTGTAAATGTTCTGGTGTACTGGGAAGAAAAGTCACTGCTCAGGTATTGCTGTGTAAATGTTAATAACATACGGTATAGCGGGTCATTTTAGTGGGGTGCTCATTTTGGCTTCTTTTGGCGTTTTGATATTAGCCTTGAAAAATTTTAATCCCTGAAATATTCAGTACTCTTCTTATATAGTGACCCTTAAAATAAATTAAGCCAAAATTATTGGCAAACCTTTGAGGAGACAAAATGCTAAAATTTTACACCCACTAAGAAAACCCACTATAAAGTAACACTGTGTAACTAGGGATAGCACACTGTGGAATCATATATAATGTAATTGTTTGAGGGGGAACAAATACAAAAACAAAATAATATACTTTAAAAATTGTTTTCATTCAGTTACTGGCAAAACAGATTGGAATCAAACTTAGTCAGCTGATGAGATGGAATGTAAATTTCAAGGATCCAGACATTGAAGTGAGTAACAGAGTGTTTGCATAATGATCATATCGAAATTGCGCTATAAAATATAATGCAACAAGCTAGTACACTGTCATTTCATTATATTTACTCAGAATTGTCAGTCTGATTTTGTGTATTTTATTAGATTTGCATACAAGTGAATGATGTTCATGTTAGTGTTGGTATTCCACTGACCAGGTAAGTATCACTGACTATCACATATAGGACCATTATCAGCTTAGTTTGGACTTTCTGTAAGGCATGGGATTCTCGACGTTACCTAATTAGCTTCTGAAATTTACACAGATTTCCTTCACTGTTGAAATATACATGTACATAGGATAGAAATTTGGCGGAATGTCAACTGGTGTAGTTAATAGCCAATTAAAAGTCCTCTCATGGCACAGAGGTGGGGTGTAAGTCATCTCATCGTTGACAACAACAATTTAAAGTTCCTGATGTTGTTAATTTCTTAACCAATGAGAATCTACTAGTATTCGCCATTACATAGCGCTGAGAATGCCACGCCCTACTGAAAGTCCAAACTAAGGTGATAATGGTCCTATTGACACACATCATGATTTTTGTGAGGATATTATCAAAATTTATTTATCATGTTTATTGGAAAAATTTAGCTATGCCTTTGTATAAATTTCATTCAGCATTTGCATGCACAAAATGATGCTGATATAACAAAAATATCTCCTTGAATAAAGAATGATTCTATAGAATACCTTTCATGCAAAGTTAACATTTAAACATCTGCAAATTAATAAGCATATAATATATGACTAGCCCCTTCTTCTGGTTGTTTAGAGTTCCATTGTCCAAAAGAGATTATGTGAAATGTCATGGGTTAAGGGGACCCGTCACATGGATTATGTCAAATTTACTGGAGATCAAGGTATTTTTAACATGTTTTAAAATGTAATTAATGATTCACATGTATTTATTTTGATGAATATTCAGTAACCATATGTTGTTATAATTTACCCTTATTAAAGAACAGATTTGTTTTCCCTAGTTATGTCTTCATTTCAGTACATCAAATATTATGAATAGTGTTTTTCCCCTCCTCAGAATCCAAGTGTAATTTTGGATCCTATGTGTGGAAAAGCCACCATACTTCTTGAGGCAGCAAAACAAATTGAGGTAAAACATTCCAACTTTCTATTGTTTTTTTTCCACCCCCTCTCCATAATACTACATAATGTTAAGGTCAAGATCTAGTAAATGAAAGGTGCCTACAGATTTATCAAATTTGAGAAATAAATTCCTTTATTGATGCTTTACAACTTTAGCTTGGTCAAATAAGGTGTTTCGGGGCATAATTTGTAGGTAAACAAGATGAAAAACTGTATTTTGAACTGTCATTTTCAATGAAATATTAAAAAGACCAGACATGAATATGGGAGTTTTTTTCATATTTGACAAAGGAAATGTATCCAGATTGCCTACAGTCTATCAGAAAATGGTAATTAGTACGTTCATGGCCTTTTCTTTAAATCAATATCAAATTTAATATAGGTATCCAGTTTACTTTTCATATGATTTGAAATTGAATGTCAAGAAAATACCCTATTTTCTACATAATTCTACTAAAGCCGTAAAGTACGGGAAAAAGAAAGTTGAAATTGATTATGACGTCATAATGGATCTAGCACCAAAAAGTTAGTCTAAAGTTATTTACTAGATCTTGACCTTAAAGTCTAGAATTTGTAATCCATGTGCCCTGTACATTCAATTTTTCAGTTTTATAAATAAATAAATTTCTTTAAACATTCATACAGCAAATCTTTTATGGAGTGATCATTTTTAATTTCAAAATGTATATTTCACCATCATTGTAATTTTCTTCTTCTGTAATTTTCAGGGAGTGTTTTGTATAGGTTGTGACATCAGTGATGATCAATTAAAGTCGGCTCAGGAAAATATTGACTTTGGGAAAGTACACGACAGACTACAGTTAATCAAGGGTGATTGTAGAGGTAGGAAGCAATTTCTGTTTCAGCAATTATGTATAATGACAAGGTTTTCTATAGGTTTTGGAACAACTTGACTTTGTCTTAATATCCAAAAGTCTTCAAAAGTATAATATTCACAAAAAACTCAGATTTTTTTGAGGGGGAGGGGGCATTGTCATTACCACTACCAGTCTCCACACACTATCAAAAATAATATAAAATAAAGTGCAAAAGAAGTCTGTTGGGATATAACAGACCCTATTTCTTTTTTTGCAGCATTGCCTCTAACTAATGAGAGTGTGGATGGAATAGTTTGTGATACACCGTTTGGAAAGAAGTACAGTGTTAAAGAATCATCAACTGCCTTTCATGCTTCATTACTCCAAGAAATGTACAGGTATCTTAGCATAAATACATGTAATTATATATTTGATATTTTTACATAATATATGTATATGCAAATGTTGCCCCCAAAATATATGTTAGTATCAAACTGATCCAGATAAAATATTTTACATGGGAAGTCCTCTGCAGATTTTATAATTTCAATGTAAATATTCACAAATTATCTAAATAAATGTAACTTACAAGATCCATATTTATCATTAATTTCTCTTTGTATGCCTGTTTTAGAGTCCTAAAGAGGAATGAAACAGTGGTTCTGCTGGTCAGTGAAGAAATGCACCACTGTATCAAAAATGCAGGGAATTCATTTCAACCTTGTGTACATCCAGGCCAAAATCAGATCATTCAGGGTCAAGAGGACTGTATTCAGCTGAATGAAGATATAGAAAACCATTGCTTTGTTCTTGGTGACCAATCAAAACAATCCTTGGGCATACAAACAGATAAGGCAAACATAAATTTCTCAGACACACTTGTGAGTGATACTAAAAATAGCTGTGAAAAAAGTATACTTCCCCTACCACCTCAAATCAGAACTTACCCATTACCTAATGAATTGTATGCTCATGCAACTGAGAAAGCTCTACAGAGTGATACAAGCAGTTCAGATTTAAAGGATAGTAAATTGACGGATAAATGTGATGAGTTAACCTACTCCTTAAAGAGTATCGGTAATTGTGAGGATGTAAAGTGTGATGACCTTGAGAGAGGTGTGACAGATTTGTCTTCTGCTCTAGAGCAATTCAAGCATGTCAGTGATCACTACATCAAATTGGGAGAAACAAACTCATATATTGTTGTACTGAAGAAACCATAATACATGTATGTCTTTTTTTGTGAAGAAAAGAGGACAATTAAATATTTGAATATAAACAGGACAAAAAGCTGATATTTTTCTTCATTTTTGGGGCAGATTTGAAACTACAGCATTGTCCTTGGGCCCCAACACTCAATTGTGTCACCTTGGCATAAATATTCTTTAAAAGAAAATGTTTAAAAGATTTGTTTACCTTTCCTAAAAAAAAAACTAGAGTCCAGATTTGTAGAAGATAACACATTTATATAGTGAAGTTTGGGTCTGTTTCTGATAAACTTGCCAGAAGATTTATAAACATTTAAAAATGATTTTTCTCATAGATTACCATGTTAAACTTTGAACTCATATTATGATTCTACCCTGCTCTGGGGACAACGATTCCACAATTAACGTACTACATGTATTTCAGGAAGCTGTAACTTCTACAGTGTAGTAAGTCTTTCTGATCATCTGTTGTCAAGCGTTTGTCTGTCAGTCAGAACTTTACACGTTTTCAAGTGTAAGAAAGATAATAGTACATGATCACATTAAAAATAAAGTTATTTATCCATCAAGCTTGGGACTTACTTTGTAAAGAAATGCATTACATTACAATTACTTTTTAGAAATTAGGTATTGCCTTTACCATTAAATTGATTTCTATACGTAATTTTCATTGTATAACAGTTAGTATTACTTTGTTAATGCATTTCCATAAGTCACCAGTGGTAAAAATGCTTGCTCTAGAATGTAGGTTCCATGTGACAAGTACAGGTCTAAATTCGCAGCCCTCCACTGGCGTTCAAATTTCTCAAACAAACAAAACCAATATATCATAATGGCATTACTTTTGGGTTTTCATAAATAGAAATAAAAAATTAATAGAACCATTTTCATGAACAACCCCATCATCATTGAAACTAAATATGCAGATAAATCTTACTTCAATTAAACAGTGCTTGTATCTGTGTGTATTTTATTTTGTGATACCGCTGCGGTTTCAATGTCATGCTAGTTAAACATTTTCTTACACTTTGTTTCGAATATAAAATTGCAATTAAGCTATTTGTGATAACTCCAGCTTATCATGATAGATTGATTGTATTTTGTTTTACGTCCTATTTGGGAATTTTTCACTCGTATAGAGAGGTAATCAAGGATGAAGGATGTGGCGTTAACGAACAGTATTGGAAGATATATTTTAATGCTCCTGTAATCAAAGATTCGGAGGTATATAGTTTTTGCCCTGTCTCTCCACGACCATCTGTATGTTTGTACGTTTGTCCGCAAAAACTTTGATAACTTTTTAGCTCACCTGAGCCTTCGGCTCAGGTGAGCTTTTCTGATCAAAATTTGTCCGATATCTGTCGTTGTCATCGTTGTTGTCGTTGTCGTAGTTGTTGTTGTCGTTGTAAACTTTACACATTTTCATCTTCTTCTCAAGAACCACTGGGTCAATTTCAACCAAACTTGCTACAAAGTATCCTTAGATAAAGGGGATTAAAGTTTGTTAAAATGAAGGGCCATGCCCTTTTCAGAGGGGAGATAATTATGAATTAGAGAAAAAATAATGGCGTTTTTTAAAAAATCTTCTTCTCAAGAACCACTGGGCCAGGAAAGATGAAACTCATGTGGTATCATCCTCAGGTAGTGTAAATTCAAGTTGTTCAAATCATGACCCCCGGGGTAGGGTGGGGCCAAAATGGCCGATCAAAGTTATACATAGGAATATATAGGAAAAATCTTTAAGAATCTTCTTCTCAAGATCCATAGGAACAGGATAGATGAAACTCATGTGGAATCATCCTAAGGTAGTGTAGATTCAAGTTTGTTCCAATCATGACCCCTTGTCACAAGAAATACACATGTGAATTATGAAAGTCAAAGCTCCGCTAAATCAAAAGGAATGAGCAAGGTTAAAGTTTTTGCGGCCAAACAAACAGACAGACGGAAATGGCAACTCTATACCCCACGGATATTCGATAACGGGGACATAAAAATCAACTGGAAAATAAAACTGCAATGCTTGTTAATGATTATCAGAGATTTTTGCCCTTGGAGTTTGACAAATTTTTCTGAAAAAAATTCCAAACTTTTATTCTGGCTCTAACCTTTGATACGTAGTTACTGCGACTTCCATACTTCACATATGTATATTTTATGACAGGACCTTTCATTCACAGGCACCTGACGTTACTTATTTTTGTTTTAATAAAAAAAATATAAACACATACCTAATAATATTAGGTATGTGTATATTTATTTTTATTAAAAGAAAAATAAGTAATGTCAGGTGCCTGTGCTTTCATTGGATACAAACAACTTTGACCGTAACATTGGAATTTGACTTTCTTCATAAAAACTTTAACCTTGGCCATAAGTTTGAACAATAAGGACTAGGGATTACGTAATTAACATATGTACATGTAATTCTTGTGAGAAGTCTAGCATTGATACCAACATTTTTTACCTTTTGACTTTGACCTCGGAGTTTGACCTACTTTAAAAGACATTAACCATAACTCTTTTGAAAAGTTAGGACTAGGACTTTCAAACTTCACAAATTGAATCCGTGTGACGACCTTTCATTGGATACTAACAACTGTACGGGCTAGGGCTTTCATACCTCACATATGTTATCCTTGAGAAAGACCTTTCTGAAGAATCCGACAACTTTGACCTTGACCCTGAAGTTTGACTTTTAAAAAACCTTAACCTTGGCAATAACTTTTGAACAGGTGGTGCTTGGGCTTTCATATTCAAAAATTGTAGTTCTTGTGAGAAGATCACGCATTGGGTACTAACGTATTTGATTTGTATTTAAGAAATTAAAAGTTTAATCTTCTGAGGCAACAGTGTTTCACAAACACATCTTGTTTTCATTTTAATGGTAAGTAATAGTGTTCACATGCTTAAAAATTTGCAGTTTTCTTCAGTCACCGTGAAAGGTGCAATGCCCTGCGTTTATTTGCCAGAGAAAGTCATTTATATAATTTTATATAGTTTTGATGTACACATTTACATATTAAAGTATTTATTATAAAAGCCTCATGTACTACCAAGTTTCAATCAGGTATACATTTATATAGTTCCATTTCTAATATTTTTTCTCTGTGATAACTCTTTAAAAGTTAGTGGAGTTGATTCCTTGATAATTCTACCATAATGTAAATTAAGCAGGTTGATAGGTCAGGAGCTAAGGAGGTCATATATGCATGGAAATCTCATGCGCATCTGTCTCTGACGCTAAGGAGGCCAAATATGCATGTAAATCTCGTGCGGCTGCCTTTGTGTTTGACGTCAGTGTGCGAGAACTATTGAAATTAATCTGGGAGTCCTCGTGTAATTTAAATCTATAAGTCTACATTTTTTAAGTTTAAATTTACAATTTATTTCACAATGAAATTGAGATATAAGGAATCACTGTTTAGTTAATATAGTATGCCAGGGATATCAACGATAGTGGAAAACATGGGATAATTCATGCATAACGGGCGAAGCCCGTTATTCAAATTATCTCATATGTTTCCCACTATCGTTGATACCCTGACATACTATACTAACTAGGCAGTGATTCCTTAAATACAATATGTATTATACATCTGTATAAATTATGATAACATTAAAACATGATCTTCTTCAGTTGTTTCGTTATTTTTTGCCTTTCTTTTATTTATTTCAAGAACTTGAAGTCGTTTGACTGAAATTGCAAGCTGGGTTTTAATTTTCATTTTTGCAAATTTTGAAGAAATGTGTTCCGTCTCCTGCACTTCATAGACCCAACCTTTTTTGTAAACCTGTTTTCTTTCAATCGTCTTCCCTTGGAGATGATCAAAATCTACACGAGAGCAAAATTCCACTGCGGTGTCAAGAAACTTCTGAAGGTCAAATTTTTCAGCTGCTAGGATATAATCCAATAGTGTTTCAACTGTTATGTCTGTATCCGGATTACATTTGCTTATCATAAAATTCTCACAATCAGCAACAAGAGGGGACTGGTATTCATGTGCCAATGGTAGTACTTGTAGTACATTGTGCCCTGAAAGAAAATTATATACCGTTATTTTTTTAATACTAGTAGATTGTTAAAATGATCAAATACTAGAGACCCATGGGCAACAACACTCATCTGAGTAAGTGTGGGGCTCTTGTATGAGCACATTCTTATTCTCGGAGGTTACGATTTGCACAAACTATTATCTACACTATTTGCTTATTAACACGCATTCTCTGTAAGCACCAAAAATCTTGGAAACAACATGTCTCGGATTTTGATGAAATTTTCACCATAGATGTGTCTTAGTACAAAACTAGTAAAAATAGTGTTGGAGGTTCCACACGTGCACTTGGTTGACATTACATGGAGACGGATCCATTTAATTCGGCCATTTTTGACCCTATTTGACTAAATGAAATCGTGAAAATTGAGGCAATTCACATGAATATTTATCGGTATCTAATACACTCTAACAAAATCAATGGATCATATTCATTTAGATTTCCTCAATTTTCATGATTTCATTTTGCCAAAAAGGGCTAAAAGTGATCGAATTCAATGGATCCGTTTCCATGACAACCTAGTGCACGTGTGGAACTTCCGACACCATATTCTTTAGGTTTGTACCAAGACAAAATCCGAGAAATGTCGTTTCATAGCCCTATAGTAAATTTGTTGGTGCTTACAGAGAATACGTGTTAAAAATACATGTACTAGTTATAACTTATCATGGCTTTACTGTTTCTCGTAAAAGAATTTAAATTTTTTTTTCCTTATACTTCTTTGATCATCCATTGTTTACACATCCTTCCCGCAGGGGTTGCGATTTGAACAAAATGTAATATACACTTCCTGTGGATGCTTCTAAGTTAATATGACTACTGATTATGGCTTTGCTATTCCACCGAAAACGATTTTTACAGATTTTTAATCGATCTTGTACAGTTTTATGAAAAACTTCGATTGTCCATTGTGGTGCCTCACTTTTCCCTGAAATCATGATTTGAGCAAATATGAACATATACACTGTACTACCCGTGGATGATTCCATATAAATATAACTGATCATGACTTTGTTGTTCTTCATCATCAGTTTTTTTAAATCGTCTATGTATTCTATTAATTCATGATTTGAATAAACTTGAATCCCCACAACGGGTGCTTCCATATAAATAAGATTAATCATGGCTTTCCAATTTAAAAGATTTTTCCTAAATGTGTATAACTATGTTAAGGTCAGATGATACAACCAAACTATAACAACTTGTCATGTTTTAATGAATAAAATGAACAAGTGTCATCGCAAAGGTTTTAATATTTCATTCTAAGTTTCACAAAAGAATTTTAAGAAATTTCTCAACATTTCATACATATTTGCATCAATTGCAACAAAAATAAGCCAAGAAATGTATACCAATCCAGGCATCCATTTTTTGGTTGTATCATCTGTCCTTAGACTTTGATCAACCACATTAACAACACCCTACCCCTATGGTCATAAAATGAAAAGAAAATTAAATCTGCACCTTATCAGAAAGCTTTGAATATTAAATAGACCAGGATTTAAATTCAATAATGAAACTTGACAAAGAACAATACAGAGTATTTTCTATGAAATCAAAATATTTTATAGAGGATGTCACAAAACAATGAAAACACACACCAACACACACCCTCCCTCTCTCAAACACACACCCACACATACATCCTCCCTCTCTTTCACACACACCCAGCCACACACTCTATATCTACCAATTCAAACAAAGAAATAATATCCATACTGCAATAGTTTTACCTGTTATTGCATACTCCATGTTGGGATAAAAACATCTAAGAAACTCAATTACATCTTTCGCCTTTTTGTTGTGAAGAGTTATCTCTTTTGCAGTGCTTTCTTTAAAGCTACCAGAAAACATGGTATTAAATACTGGAGAATGTTGAGAGAGGACAGCTTTGTTTACGTGGATTTTCTCGTCTTCTACAACTAAAGTTACATCTGTTTCTGGAAATTCAAAGTTACCCTTGCTTTTTCCTTCTGCCATGTTATTTGTTGCTGTCTACTATCTAAAAGAAAAAAAAATCTTTAATTGACAATAAAAGCCCTGTTAAGCTGTTATTTATATATGATCCCAGTAATCTTCCTCTTCACACCTAGATCTCAAGCTACCAGCCAAGAGCTCCACTTGATCATGGGAAGACATCATGCATTGAAACTAACATCGACATAGTAGCCTGCGGTCGGGGTGCAGTGGTTAGAGTTTTGCTAGATAACGTCGCGAAGTAAGGAGTTGATCTATTCCTCGCGGGTTCGAATCTCACTGCGGGACGAGGAGACCGGTCCTGCAGATGAGAACTGTTACAGATAAACCAAGGACCCTAGCCGCAGTAGGTGTTGGCACAAAAAGATCCCTCACTATTCAATGGCCCTAAGTGCCAATTACTGGAGTGTAGATCTTTTGCAGTCTTAACCGGCAAGTGATGCCGTGTTGATATTAGTAAAAAAAAGTTACAGAAAGGGATTATAAACAAACAATTGACTAACTAATTACACCTCATCTTTCTCATGAATTTCAAATTATCGCCGCACGCTGGGCGCAGTGGTTAGAGGGTCTGTTCTAGAGTCGCGAAATAAGGAGTCAGTCCATTGAAAGAAAAATGCTTAAAACTTAATCTGCTTCAGCAGCTGGATAAAATAGAATAGACGCAGAATCTAAATAATACCTTGAAGTGTATCCATATATGATATCCATGCAATTAAGTTTGGACCTGGGAGGGCAATAATTACTTGGAAGTGAGGTTGTTTAAAAAAAATAGTCGCAAAAAGGTTATGCCGACACAATGGGCAATATTGTAACATCACTTTCATAATTATGGACTCCATTGAAGATTACGCCAGACGATGGACCGGATATGAAAAAAGAAGACGTTGACACTTTATCAGAATGGATTAAATGTATTAGATCCATGTTGAAATCACGTATTAAAGAATTGAGGTGTAATATGAAAACCATCTTTCCTTCTGTATTCAATAATCCAGAAGTGAAAAAAGAAATAAATAGATTACATGATCAGCATGTACTGGTCCCTACTGGCAAAGCAGGTAACAACATTGTCTTTGTTTGTAAGGCTCATTGTATAAATTGTATTTTATAATTAGAAGAACTTGGATTTGATTCTACAAATAGTAATCCAACTTAAACTCATAATTCTTTTTCTAAGGAAGAAATCTTTCAAAATCATGTGTCAGTTTTGAATATTTTTAATATCTTAAAGAACCAAAATGATTTTGAACTACATGTACCATATATATATATATATATATTGGATTCCAAAACTTCAAAGGAATCCTTGCAATCAAAGATACATTGCGGGTTCCAGTAAATGTTCAACCAAGCCTCTTTCTTTACTCCTCACTAAGATATTGACATTAGTATAGGAAAAATTTCAAGAATACTGTGTAAAAATATACGATATTCAAGAAGTGGTGTGAATCAGATGTGGATACTCAAAAATTCCAAAGAACTTTTGGACAACTTGAAATAACAAGACTTAACCAAAACCAACAGCTTAAAAACTTACAACTTTGCCCCTGATAAATTAAAGTCCAGGCTTTTCGATATCATTGACAGCTGTTTTTTTCAATCAAAATGGAACTCGTAAATTTACTTACCTGGTCATTGGTCATTTGCAATATTATTTTGTTAAAACACATTCTGATTGCACACACAAGTACTCTGAAGTTGACAGAAAGATGCTTGAGTTTCTGATTGACAATATCTATATGGTTTTTGGAGATCAGGTCTTTCATTAATCCATTGGAATCCCCATGGGTACCAAATTTTTTTTTATTCATATGAAGCAGAATTTGTGCAAAATTTTATCTGTGAAAAGAAGAAAAAACTTGCAGTGGTCTTCAAATCAACATATAGATTTATCGCCGATGGACTGCCAATTAACAGTGGTAATTTCCATTCCTATGTAGATACGATCCCGGGGAGCTTGAGATAAAAGATACCACAGAGCGTGACACATCTGTTTCATACTTGGATATTTTAACCAAGCTCTATAATACACGTGATGTCACTTTTCTATCGTCAACTTCCCTTACTTATGCAGCAATATATCTTCATCACCTGCATACGGAGTTAATATATCTCAATTGATTCGATACGCAAGAGCATGCTCCACGTATGAACAATTTCTAAAACGAGATAAATTATTGACAAACAAGTTTATGAGACAAGAAACAAGAAAATCAGCAGTTTCGTTGAAAGTCAAATTGAAAAAATGCAGAAAGACTTAATCTTGATTAAGTTACGCGATAACATAATCTTTATTCACAACCACATACAGTTGTATTACCCAGTATGTGTACTGTAGAGTCACATATTTTCGTGGGGTCAAATATTTGTGGTTTGCGGAAAAAAACACTTGGTTCGTTGTGGTTTGATTTCATTTATGAAGAATTGTTGAGTAATTATGTACATTGTACATTTCGTGGTTGACATGAATTCGTGGTTTTTCTCATGCACCAAAAACAACGAAAATCAAAACCCCACGAAAATTTTTGATTTCACAGTATTTCATGTTTACTTCAAAAGTGTTTAAAATGTGAAAATATGGACCAATTACAGAAACAACTAAGAGGGAAACCATTTATGTGTGTTGGTATTTAAATATTCAATAATTTTGTTATAACGGACATGCAAAAATCTAATTATTGCGTGAAGTTTTTTCTTCAAACTTTTGAATAATGCAGCTAAATTCTGCTTGAAAATTCGGTAAAGAAAAAAGTGACAACAGAAGAAATGATGACTAACTGTCAGATACCGACATTTCCATAGATATTTCATATATACTGGATGATAAAGACTAGTGGATACGAACAGTTGGTGGATCAATTACTATTTTTATCAATATTTATAAATTAACGTCAGTCTTGATCAAAAAGAGCATCAGGTATTGGTGCTTTATAATTGTGAGAATTTGCGATGCTTGCATAAAATTCAACACCCCATTCCAATCAGTAACGACTAAAGGTGGTAGTAGATGTTTTAAAGATTTTCCTATATATTCCTATGTGAAATTTTGATCAGCCATTGTGGTCCCGCCCTACCCCCAGGGATCATGATATGAACAAACTTAAATGTGCACTACCTGAGGATGCTTCCACTTGAGTTTCATCTTTCCTGTTCCAATTATTCTTGAGAATATTTTTAAAATTTAAGATGCCAATAATTTTTTGCTAATTCATAATTAGTTCCCAGTGGAAGAGGGTGTTGCCCTTGATTTGAACAAACTTGAATTCCCTTTACAAAAGGATACTTTATGGCAAGTTTAGTTGAAATTGGTTCAGTGGTTCTTGAGAATAAGATGAAAATTTTAAAAGTTAACGACAACGGCGACAACAACTACGACGAGAGACATGCAACGGAGAAAATTTGATAAGAAAAGATCGTAGGCTCAATTAAGCTAACAATTGAACCAACATCAGATCAATACAACTGTACATGTATTTGATTTAGAAACAAATCCAGATGTTTATTCATTATCCTGAATGATATATAATGCAGGAATAATTCCGAATAATACGAAACTCTACGGTAAAATTTACATGATACAACTTGTCGTGAGTTATTAAATAAATAAAAATTTCTTTTATATTATATTTTTTCCAAACTCAATTTATAAGTAAAGATATATGAAAAACAAATTTTATCACTTACCGTTGGATTGGCTACCTGGGTGGATTTTTTTAAAATTATAATCGATCTGTCACTTACTTCTGACCGATTTTAAAGTCTATCATACCCGTTTTCAAAAAATGATTATCGATTAGTTTTATTTTTTGAAAGACGTGGTTTGCAATTTGAAACCGCTCAACAAGAACGGGGTGTTAGCAGTGAAACTTTGAGCAAACGAAAAATGTCTTAATATCAATTGATGATATGTTGAACATCTCATTAAATAATTCTTTCGCTTATAAAAGTGACACCATACTAGTATACTGTATGCATAAAGATTTAAGATCTATACGTGGCACTCAGGACCATTTAGAAGTATAATGAATTTTCTTATCGTGCGAAGGCCCACCTAACACGGGATCTTAGTGTGTTTTTTAGCTCACCTCAACGAAGTTGGGGGAGCTTATGTAATACCCTCGGCGTCGGCGTCGGCGTCGGCGTCGGTGTCGGTGTCGGCGTCGGCGTCCCAGGTTAAGTTTTTTGGAGCAGTTTTCTTTTTAAGTACTTTTATGTCCTATATTGATTAGACATGCATGGAAGATGGTTCTAGTGTGCTTCATTGTACCAGTCAAAGTTTCAGATGCTGCAATTTCAGCGAAGGAATGACCAGGTTAATGTTTCTGGAGCAGGTTAACATTTTTGGTGCAGTTTTTGGTGTAGGTTTCATTTCCAAGTAACTATAAGTCCTATGTTGACCAAACTTGCATGGATGGTACATCTAAGGATGCATACTAACAGGCTTGCTTCGGATGCTGAATCTGACCTACATTTTCCGGTTGAGTGAACAGGTTAAAGTTTTTGGTGCAGGTTTCATTTCCAAGTAACTATAAGCTTTATGTTGACCAAACTTGTATGGATGGTGCATCTAAGGATGCATACTACTGGGCTTGCTTCAGATGCTGAATCTGACCATCATTTTCCGGTTGAGTGAACAGGTTAAAGTTTTTGGTGTAGGTTTCATTTCCAAGTAACTATAAGCTCTATATTGACCAAACTTGTATGGATGATACATATAAGGATGCATACTACTGGGCTTGCTTCAGATGCTGAATCTGACCTACATTTTCTGGTTGAGTGAACAGGTTAAAGTTTTTGGTGCAGGATTCATTTCCAAGTAACTATAAGCCCTATGTTGACCAAACTTGCATGGATGATACATCTAAGGATGCATACTACCAGGCTTGCTTCGGATGCTGAATCTGACCTACATTTTCCGGTTGAGTGAACAGGTCAAAGTTTTTGGTGCAGGTTTCATTTCCAAGTAACTATAAGCCCTATGTTGACCAAACTTGCATGGATGATACATCTAAGGATG